TTCGGAGCCTTCTTTTGTCAAGGCTGAACAAACCMAATCCCCTCAGCATTTCCCACTCCTTTGAATATCTCTGTGACCTTAAATTACTGAGTTATATTGCCCTTGGAAATCTAACAATCTTGCCTTCTGTTTGTGTGCAAGACTCATCTGTGCTGCCATGAAGAAGGTACAGTGCAATTACACTGATACTAAAGAGCAGTTACCGCRTGATGGGTGAGTTACCCTAAGCCAAAGGAATTCAAGTGCTGATGTTCACTCTAACACAAAGGCCAAAGTGGTCTATGCACACAGCCWGTGAACTTGCTGGCCAGGCTGCACTCAATCAGATCATCTAAACTGTACCTCATCTTAACAAAATCTTGAGCAAAATTGGTATTACTACTCTTCTCTTAGTTCACACTGCCCAACTCCCCAAAKACAGGCAGATAAAGCTATAAAAGAYRACTTGTGTGTTCACTGGAGCCCAATACACAGATTTCCTCTTAACCTCACCCAACTGCTATCCTGAACCAAAAGAATTAATTTTTACTTCAATTTCCAGATAAAACAGTTTTCTTTCAGTTCCAGAGTTTAACCAGTCCCACTGTGATGAAAACATTGCGCCTTTAAAATAAACCCTCATTTACCAAACCTTCTAYCAAAATATCAAAAATGTTTTGTAACTCTTTTATACACCATCAGTTTTACCAATATCACTTTAAGCCTTTCTAGAATAGCAAACTTCACAGCAGCATTTTTAAATATATTTATCCAAATCAAGAATAACACTGCTGATCTGTATTTCACATCTCCAGATGCAGACTGGATTTTTCTTCATAAATGTTTAACAATGCATTTGGCTTTATWAAAAAAAGGGTGACAGAGAACACAATCAGCATTCATAAATGCCCATGTTACCAAAATGTGTAAGACARATCAGTTTGTGTGTCATTATTTCTCTTTCCCACCCCACAAGTTTCATCTGTAAGGATGTTACACCTACTCTCAGATTACTGATGTTAAATCGAGTGTAAAATCTAACACTGTTTTAGAAGAACTCTAGTAGAAAATAAACCAGCTGCCTCTCAGATCTGCAAGCTTAACAAATCTGTGTCTACACAACTAGACTACCAACTTTGTAATCTCAGACTGAGAACAAGTCTGACAATACCTATTGTCTAAGACATGTTGACTGAAATGTAATTATGCTTTTCCCCTGTGAAACAAAATCCCTCTCACTTTCCAATTTTGCCTGTGACTGATAACAGGCAACCTAACTTACAGCTATCCAGGTGTAGTGGGTTGATACTGGCTGGATGCCAGACACCCACCAAAGCCTCTCTTATCACTCCCTTCTGCAGCTGGACAGGGTTAAATATAAGTTAAGGTTCATGATTTGAGATCTGGACAGAGAGCTCACTCATAAAATACCACCATGGGAAGAACAGGCTTCAATTACAAAATCAGAGCACAATAATGAGAAGTAAAATWAAACTTTCAAAACACCTYCCCCCCACCCCTCYCASCTTGTCTCCTTCYCAGCTCTRTCTCCTACCTCAGTGGCACAGGGAGAYRGGGAATTGAGGTTATAGTCACTTTATCACAAGTTCTTTCTCTCGCTGCTCAGGGAGAGGAGTCCTTCTGCTCCAGCATGAGATCCTTCTCTGATCCATGGGTCCATCTTATGAGCAACAAATCCTTGCAAGCTACTGCAGTGTGGGTCACTCTTCCACRGGGCCCAATCCTTCRAGGACAGGCTGCTTCAAAGGGGGCTCATCTCTTCACGAGCCTTCCACATGGTCACAGCCTCCTGTCAGGCACCCAACTGCTCCACCATGGGTCTCCTCCACAGGTTGCAGGTGGATTCTGCATCCTCATGGATCTCCATGGGCTRSAGAGGCACAGCTGCTTCACTATGGGATGTACCATGGGCTCCATGGGAATCCCAGATCTGGTGCCTGGAGCAYCTCCTCCTGCTYCCTTTACACTACAYTGACCTTGGTGTCAGCAGAATTGTTCCTCTCACATGTTCTCACCCCACTCTTCCCTGACTGCAATTACAACTGCTCAATAATTAGTTTTCTTTCTTCTCAAATATGTTATCACAGAACTGTAACCACCATTTCTAATTGGCCAGCCTTGACCAGTAGCACATCCMCTTTCCAAGCTGCCAGAGATTGGCTCTGCTGGAAATGATTGAAGCTTCTAGCAATATCTCAAAGAAGCCACCCTGCTATGCTACCTAAGCTTGGCCATGCAAACCCAATACACCAGATTATAGCTTTTTAGAACACTGGCATTAAACATGAACACTATTCTCATGTTCTGAAATTTTCCTGATAGGCCAGGGTGGTTCGTTGTTTGTTTTTAAAATCAAATGAGCTTTCCTCATTACAGAGCCTGTAGGACAAGTCCTGTTTCAAAATGTTGATTCCTAATGAACTTTGGTTTCAAACATCCTTTTTTGTTATTAATGGAYTGAAAAGCAGTTCACACAATGTAAYCATATACTTTTGCTCCTTTYACCATCCAGGAAGGAAATTTTTACTGAACACATATTTCTCCACCATTAACAACAATTTTATCTTCATCCAGTAACAGGCTAATACAATTAAGATTCCTTTAGTTTCTGAATACATTTAAGCTTTTTTAATTTTMTGAGCATGACAACACAGAATCTTTCCTGGTATCTCCAAGTCTCATCGTCCTCTCTATGTCTGAACTAATCTGTACTAATTAACCGCTATCCATCTTTAATTCCCATGTGAAATTACTTCAAATTCATCTGGATGAGAAGACAGCAGCCAAAAAGGACCCCCATTCTACATTAGACCACTGCTGTTATACCTCATTTGAAGCCTCTTAAACTCTGAACATGTCACACTTGGATAGTTTCACCTAAAACATCTTCCCTTTCCATAATTTCATCTAGCTTTGYAAAAATGCATCTTTCTGACAACAAATAATCTTGCACCCTGTTTATATTGATTTCAAAAATCCAAAAGAACTAGAAAGCATCTCTGCGTAGTATGTATCAATTTTAGCCTAGCTACTAAGCCTAACGAACCTGAAGCACAGTGGTGGTAATGGTACCTAGCGCACATTTTCTGTTCTTTAGAGTACAGCAGGTCACATCACTTTAGATTTAACAGTGATACACACAGAGACACTATCATGAAACTCAACAGAGGTCCTAAAATGTCATTAATCAAAATGGTTAAAATACTTCAAAGCTTCTCTACAGAAGCTAAATCAGACTTAAACTTCTTGCTAACCACCCAAACTCAGACTAGCTCCAAACAGAGTCAACTCCAGTACCCCTGGGTAGTACCAACAGCTGACACACATTTCTGGAGAACTCTAGACTCCAGAGCAGAGGGCACTCACTTACCAATGCAAGTTTTAAAATGATTCAGTAATGCAGTGGTAGATACTTTTATGCATAATTATATAAATACACATATGTACACATACTGTGCACAGAATTTTATTCAGAATTTGCTTATATCACATCATGTCCTGCGAACTGATCCAGTGGAAATCAAAGAACCTGTTTGTACAACAGAACAGAGTTCATCTGTAGCACTGACAAGTCTAGAACCTAGAGCCACTTCCTAAAGGAAGACATTCATGCCGTGCCCCACAGTGACTGATGTAACGGGTTATTTAGAGTAATACACAGCAACAGACATAGCAAKCAAAATTTATAAATCAGAAGGCCATGTATCTGTGCTTCGTGAAAAGTTGAAAACCAGCCTGATTTAGCATCTTGGTAAGAAAATAAAATCTGCTGAAACAGCTGGACCGCAGTATTCACCCATCTGCAACAGCTGCACATTTAMGCAGCCAACTAGCCTGAACTACAGCTTCAAGCTAAAACCAAGCAGATAGGTTTCAAAACCACTATCATTGAAAGTATTTTTTCCTACCTGTACTTTAACTCATAACAATACTTAAAAGAAGAAAGACAAATGTAAAAGTSAGAGTATTTGCCTTTATAGTGACAGTCATTGCTTTGGTTTTCTAAGAGATGACCTGCCAGAAGACACTTTAATTAAATGTCTTAAAACTCATGTAAGAGGCAACACATCTTTATGACTGGCAAATCCACTCAAGAAGCCTGAGTACCTTCAGAATCACAAATTATTTGTACCACTTTCCCCCTGGCATAGTTAAGGCTGTGTATGCTTAGAAAAAAGACAATGAATTGTTCTATGTCCTTTCAAAGGTACTTCTTGAGGACTACTAACTGCAAGAAGGGTAACTTGAAAAACATTTCTGCTAGCTATATTTCTTCCCCTACTAAAAAGAGGTTTAGGATGACTGAGTCCGGCAAACTTTCAAAATGCCTCTTCTACTTCTCGGTCTACTTGCATGGACACTCAAAAGAGATTCAAAGAAAGACCAGGATTAAAAATACTCCAATTTATTTCAAGTAAAGTATTTAAGATTTCCAGAAAATCCTTATTTCCTAATATAGTTTGGCTTAAGTGCTTTTATACAACCCTCCTTTTCTTGCAAGGCACGAAGCCTATTTCTGAGACCTAAGCCCCTAAATTTGTGGTACACAAAGTCTACAGCCTAATACTCAGGTGAAAAAAACTGGACATTCTTATTAAAACTATTACTGATAGCTACGTAGCAGAACCAAATGGTTATTCTTCAGCTAAGCTGTACAATACATGTCCAGAGGTGCACGAAACTATCTTTTCAATAAAAAYCCAGGATGCTATCAGGTACCCAGATCTTTGGAGTTCCCATCAGTGCAAACCTAGGGTTCATTGTCTGTGTTTCTGTTTTAAAAGAACTTGACTTGATGAGAATTTTCATTTTAGAAAGGACTTGCACAGCATTTACGTTACAGATATGTACAGTGTCAAAGGATCTAAAGTATATTATAGGTAAAAAAACTCAGATCATCCAAATTATAAACTATAAAATGAAACTAAGTGTTTCAGTCTACACAAGACACTTAAAATAGTTACTCTATGGAACAATTAATACAAAACAGAAGAAAGTACCTCTTGTCCCGTAAGGAAGAGTAAGAGATCTCCTTCTTCTTCTTCACACATGTGAATTTGTATCACTGTTCGAATGGCAGCCTCAAGGTAGTCCCTTTCAGGCTCTGGAGTATAGAATATCTCCACAGGATGGGTGCGACCCGGGATAGTTAGAAGAGGACAGTTATCAAAATAGATCTGAAACTTGCCAGCATCTAAAGTAGCACTCATAACTATAACCTGTAGATTTGGAGGAAAAAAAGTTACTCCAAGTTGACAAGAATTTGTGATACATTATGCATGCAAAATGTCATTTTAAGAAACGAAACTGCTGACCATGATTAAAGAATGCTTTTATTACCTGAATACAGCACTCTTGTTATAAAGGCCAAAAACATTCCAAGTCCAATACATAAGGTTAACATACAATTACATGGTTTCTAGGAACTTCCTCGGTACAAAGCACATTAAGTATTTCCCAGGGTTAACTTTCCAATATGCATCATCACAGATCAAAAAACAATTATAAAAATGAGCTAATGGTAAGCACACAGATATTTTATCCAGTATGCCTGCAACTAGAACAGACATGCTGGTGGACTTCATCACTACTGACCTTCAAATCAGATCKTTGTCTTACAACTTCCTTCAAAACACCCATCAAGATATCTGTAGCCAGTGTTCTCTCATGGGCCTCATCAAGAATTATAACACCATAACGCTCCAGCAAAGGATCATTCATTGCTTCACGCAGTAACATACCATCAGTCATATACCTAAACACAAACAGTAAACAAAATGAGTGCTGGAATTGTTTCTAAATTTGATGCAGAATCTCTTTCCACATTCAAAACTTAGCAATTTTTTAAAAGTAGGAACACCAGCAAACTACTTCCAACACTTGTAACAAGCCCATTTAAAGTTTTTAAATAGAAATAGAGTCTAAGTGGAATCTGGCATTATGGGGAGAAAGCTTAAAAAAAAGGGTGAACAGAGGGAAACAAGGTTTAGTAACATCTGCAAGTTTGTAGACTATAACTTGCAGATTTCCACACATCAGCTAAGAGGAACAGAAAGAGGAAAACACCCTCGAAAATCCAAGAGATATTGTTTCTGCAACTGGTCTCCTTCTGTGTCCACAGATCATCCGTTCACTCCTTGCTTTTCTACTGYTACATTTCTTTTTCCACATAAACTTTATGCCTGCCTGTTCAACTACTTGTAYGACCAAAGAGAAGACATCTTTTGATAGAAAAGCATTAATCCCTGAACTACACTATTTGGCGTTTTAAACTGAGCATTTTGAATGTAATCCACGAAATAACATACTAAATGCACTAGGTTTCACACATCCACCATGCCTATCTGTAGCAGCTGACAACTAAACACTCCTGACTATGTGTCCCAGAGCCAGGTGTAGGCCAGTTTTGAATCTYTGGATAGTTCCCTTTACTGAAATAATCTACTAAACCTCACCAGAAGTATCCTGAATAGAAGATACCAACATWAAATGTCAGTTGAATGTACAGCAAAGAGAAACTGCATGCTGAAGGGCTTTATTCTGAATAGCACCCTAATAATGAAATACTTATTCAGATCATCTTCTTTATGGATCATTTTAAATTAATTTCTATAGGATTCAGTGATTTCTTCAYGATGAATGAATCATTTCCAACTCTACTCATGCTTCATCTCAGTTTTCTCTCAGCTCATGCTACAGTTCCTGTCTCCCCTCCCCACTCAGACACAAAGCACCAATCCACAGATTTACTCCCTTATTACTCCTTTCAGAACTCCATTTGCACCCTTCATTACCCTGCGATTCCCACCTCCAAGTATGCTGTTATACCTTTATCAGACAGCTGACATACTTACTTCAAAATGGTTTTTGCACTACTGCAATCTTCAAACCGAATGGAGTAACCAACCTCCTGGCCCAGCATAACATCCATTTCATCAGCAACGCGCTGTGCGACGCTCATGGCAGCCACTCTCCGGGGCTGAGTACAAGCCACTCCCCTCTTTGGGCCAGGTAATGAGCGCATGTAGTCAACACACCATTGAGGGATCTGTCAAGAATAAAATTCAGTGAGAAACACRCTTCAAATGGTCATAAGGAATCTGAAACCTTTGCACTGGATCAAAAGTTAGTTCGAATTCCACAGAGATGCCAAATCCACACACAAAAATACCCAAAGCAGGAGAGCAGATAGACCAGTCAGCTGGATCCAATGCCACTAAATAAAGCACTCTCATTAAGCATGTACATATCTATCTTTAAAGTTATCAAGGAAATACMTGAGTTCACAGCATATTTTAGCCCTGTAAGATCAATATCTTTTTCAGGTACTCAGCAGCAGCCAACATGCTCTAGAGCAACCAAAATTAAAGCTAACATACTAAAACTTTGAGATCAATAGCATAGTTTAAGTTTCACAGTAAGCAAAATGTATTACGTGTCTTGAAAAAGTAATGCTTTTTAATACATTCAAACAAAAACAATTATTTTAGTAATAAAAAACTTGTGCTAGCCAGGAAGTACAACAAATAAAATGAACAAGTAATTATATTCATTAGGTTTATTACTGCTCCTCATAAATTTCATCAACCAGATATAAAACCCCTAAGCTTTCTTTCCTGTGTTAGCACTCATTTTATTTGCCAGTCAGTAGTTTTCTGCTCCTATTAGGAACCTGGAAACAGTAAGAGCCATGCAAAACAAGTTTTATTTAGAATTCCTAAGGTCAGTAACAGTTTGATGAAGACAGAATATTCTCAACATGTTCACAGCGTGACACTTTATGAGGAGACAACTCCAGGACTAAGTAGTTCCGAGCCTACAGACAAAAAAAAAAAAACCCTCACTCTTCCTTAGTAACTTTTTAAAAGAACAMAAAGGAAAAGAAAACATATCCTTTATACACTCTACCAATAAGGAATAGACGAGAAAGCASTATAATTTAAACCAGGAAAATATCTGCTCGTTATTACTGGATCTTCACAACAAAATGGATTTAAGTAAACACAAAACATAACCAGAAGCAGACAAGTSTGGTCCAATGCAATTTTTAAATCAGAATATACTTCCACTATAAACGTAAGAAAAATAAAAGCAAAAATAATCAAAAACGACAGGAGACTGCTAGCTTGCTGCGAAGAACTCAAATTTCTGAAAATCCTATTCAAAACTAAAATAGCAGTTCTKGAACACTAACAGCAAAATGAAACCCTATCCTGGTTAACATACATGGCTCCCCCACTTCCCAAGTCCCTAGTAACAGCTCAACTCTTAAGTATATTAGATGAAGCTTTCTGACTTTAAACCAAGCAAATCCTGAAATAAATTTTGAACCAGCAGATCTGTCAGGCCACTGCAGCAKGAAATAGAACCAATTTAAAAGTGATTTTCCTGTAAACAGCAAAACCTTCAGCACTGGTGTCAGATCAAAGAAAARGGCTCCATAAACTTTCCTGTGCTAGGCTGGGACAGACAACCACCCAAAGACTTTTCCTGCCCAGCTTTCAAAGACATACAAATACTGGGAAAAAGGACTGTGCCACCCTGTATGCCTTTCTTCAGTCATGCCTGAGAATATACCGAGCACTTAGCATCTGGTTCTTATGTAACCTACTGACACAAACCCTGCCCCCTTACCATCATCAAAACCCCTGACTTTCTTCAAAAAAAGATCATTTTATCAATACCAAAAGCAGGAGSAACAGCTTTAGCCAGCATCATTTAATCTCAAGGACTTTCTCAGTTAAGGGGGATTTTCAAATATAACTTCCATGAACATGAGAAGGTAGTAACTAAACATACAACGGCCTCTAAGATCAAGGATAAATGCATTAACGTTTCTTAAAGACCCTTTCAAAGGAAATTYATTATTTTAAGGAACACAGAACAAGAGAGGGAAGAACACTGCCCTTTCTGGCTTTTTTAGGCCTCTCCAACTTACTGAAAACTTCCTCAGTTAAAAGTTAATGGTAGAATTCTCTGTATTTTCCTTAGTTGAAAACCTGTATCTGTTCTTCTACACACTGCAAAGGACAAGGATTAAGCTACAGTGCGCATCAGCTTGCTTCTGAATKTCACCTGCCACGAAAACCTGCTGAAAAAGTAGCATCACTTCAGAACCACATATGATCCCGTATTTAAAAAAGAGTGAATGTTATAATTACACCAAGTAATTAACCCCTTCCTAAGAGAAGTCTGGCAAACCCATTCCACCACTGAACACATTCCCAATGCATTTAGAAAAACTAGTTAACTTAGAAGGYAAAGTTTAAATTACAAATCAAGCCACTGCAAACACTAAAGAACTGAAAATCAACGTTTTGGCTTCCAATACACCTCTTCACTACTTTGGGGTTTAMGTCTATATGAAACAAGTGAGAAAAGTTTCATTCAGTTTTTTCCACTGTCTGAGCCAAGCATTTCCAATCCTGGGTGCTCCATAAGACTGAAGGGAAAGCATGTACATAACCACAAAATGGTTTGAGTTGAAAGGAACCTTAAASATTATCTGGTTCCAATCCTCCTGCAGCGGCCAGGGATGCCACCCACCAGACCAGATTGATTCAAGMCCCACCCAACCTGGCCTGGGAACACCTGCAGAGATGAGGCACTCGTAACTTCTCCAGGGACCTGTTYCAGCATTTTACCACTCTCACAAAAAAAATTTCCTAACCCCTAATCTAAATCTCCTCTCTTCCAGTTTAAAACTAATTTCTCCTTGTCCTATCACTATCTGCCCATGAAAAAAGTCACTCTTCATGCTTTTTTCTAAGCCCTCTTTAGGTACTGAAAGGCCACGATGAGGCCTCTATGGAGCCTTCTTTCTTCAGGCTGAACAATCCCAACTCTCCCAGCCTGTCTTCACAGGAGAAGTACAGATAATCAGAGAAGCGACCTGAAAGGCAGCAGCTCACTGTAGAATATCTACTTCATAGTCCTCTACTATCACTACGAAACAGAAGYTAATAATTTTGGAAATAGTATTTTTCAAATGTTGCTTGCTTTTATTTATATAAAGTTRGCATTAATAGCTCATGTATACCTGMAATCTGAGCACTAAAGGATTTCTTAGCTGCACTAAGTACTTATCTTGGTCCAGTCAATGAATTTAAGGAGAATAAAAACAACTATCCCACAACAGGTTTTAAGACAGCAATAGACCACATAAAGGATGTGACWCTACAACATGCAAAACAAGGTTTTCACTACATGGCAGCAGGACAAATTTCAGTAATATGTCCCAACAGAGACTCCGTCAATTGTTTCAAAATGTATCTGCAACCTCACAGAGCAAATTCAGAGGAGGAAGTGAAGCTTCCAAGACAGCGTATGTATGTGCTTCYGGTAGCTTAAATCCAGTCTTTAGGTAAGATGTGTTAAATTACTTAAATCCTTTCAGAAAGTAAGGTTTGAAGTAGTAAGATAACTCGGGTAAAAGCTTTATACCTGAGGAATGACATTAGGATGTATTTGAAGTATAAGACATGGATATGAAAACCACACAACCCTCAGATCTTGTCATTTTCAGATCACACAARTAATCTTGTTTTCCTATAGGTAAGTACCATTTTTCAACATAAACATTCAGAACACTGCATCTTCCAGACAACTACATAATCAGAYCTTTCTGAAGAATTCTTAACAATCCCGGTCTTGTCTTATACACTTAAAAAAGCAATACAGATGTCACAGTGTTACCTTCTAAACTATACACTGGTTCCTAGAATGCGCAGCATGTCCTGTAACCTCAGGTATTTCAGGCACAGCTCTRAAAGATATCTAATGTACTATGTCCTTCACATTTTCTCAATATCCACAATTTTATGACTAAAAATTTACTGTCTGTTAAGACTCTAAGTTAACTACAATGCATTCTATAAAGAGTAAAATATTCTAAYGTTTTTGTTTTCTGCCTAGATAAAAGGATTTTAGATTACAGAACAAAGAACTTTTTACATCACTTTTCCACACAGACTTTAAACAGCAAACCAAAGGATAAASTTTTGAGCAAGTTTGCCCTGCTATAAATACACAGGTTTTCTTTGTATCTTAGATATTCCCTGTTTCCTGGTCCTCAAAATTCTTCTTAASGCTTAAGGAGGCTCTGCAAATCTGTTATCACAACCTTTGGTGCCGAGGAAGACTTTTAAAGCCATCAATCTACAAAAGAGAGTGTTTTTTAACTGCAGCACTAAAAAGTTCTATGACCTCTGAGAAGTTTCAGTACCTAGGAAATCCAAATCTCTACCTCTCAAGTTTGAATTATCACCAAAACACATAATCCAATCAGATGTCAGAATTGTATCCGACATTTCAATTCCTCTTAAGTTTATATTGGTAGCAGTAAGTTTCATGTTTTATGAAACAAGTATGAACAAGTTCATTCTATGTAACTGCTATCTACACAGACAGGTAAATAAATTACTTGGAACCACCACTTCAGTTTGTGGATTAGCACACTTCTGTCACACCATTAAAACTGTATCTTCCTCTACCATATACCCACCAATAACAAAGCCCAGTGGAAGCAGGGGCCAGAGAGCAGGACTTTTAGAGTGGAAGATTCTGTGAAATTCTCCTCAACTTTACACTCATTAAGCAAATATAACATTCATCAAATTAGTTTTGYTTACAGTTTGTGAAGTATTCTCATACTCTCAATTAATTTTGCAGACACACTAGYAACAGTCACAACCTTTAAAAAAAAAGCAGTATCATGTAGGTAGAACTCACCTGCGTTGTTTTACCAGACCCAGTCTCTCCAACCAGCACAAATGACTGATGCCTAATCAAAATATCCGTAAATCTTTCTTTATATTCCCAGACAGGCAGCTGCAGCCTTTTTTTCAGGATATCATAATATCGCGGTGTATGTGGTAGATTTGTGAAAGGGTTRATACTGTGTGGAATCATTGCTGGTTTTATAGCTGGTAACCCAGCAGCCCCATAATAGGTAGAGTTAGATGTAGGTCGCAGATCCTTTTCCTTGTCCCTTTCTCTGTCACGATCTCTATCTCTGTCACGATCCCTGTCACGATCTTTTGAACGGTCATCCCGGTCCCTGTCRCGGTCCCGATCTTTCCTAAAATGAGTTAAGAGACAGAGCAGAAAATAAGACACTTGAATATTTAAATGCAGAGGAGGAATTTACATACAACACAACCCTAACGGTACCCAGTGTAAAGTGGATACAAACCAAATCTTTAACATAGTGCAGACAGCTACCAATAACAACAATAAATACGAGGYATTCTCAATACTAGATGTAAATAGCTACATTTATTGTATTAAACATTAAACAGTTCCTCTCATTACTGGCAAGACTGAATTTAGCTATCACATGGAGACATGAATGTTTTAACCCTCTTCATTTAATGATTACAAGGAATCAGCTGTGCAATGTAGATGTCTCAGCTGTCCCCACCCCTGCTTGCTGCTGCAGAAAAATAAGAGAACACTAAATAGTCTCTTTGCCTACCTACCAAAGGAATTATGCTCACCCACAAAAAAACTAACTCAAGATAATAAGCAACCCATGGAAGAGAAGTTTGATTTTATTATTCCACAAATGCTCTACAGCTTTTTTCTGTTTCAAACCTTACATACAATTCTGACTCCATCAACTTTGATATACAGGTTGCYGAGTCTCGAGCTTACAACTTAAGACCAGACACTACAATTCACAAAATCCGAATCATTGAGGTTGGAAACGACCCTTAAAATCATGGAGCCCAACTGTTAACCTAACACTATCAAGTTATACAGTATCTTCTCCAGTATCACCTCCTACCATACATTTAAACAGCATTTATGTATTACCATTTGTTCCAAATATTAAGTAGAAAAATTCACTCCACATGCAAAWGAAAAACAGCATTTTTCATCTCTGGCCTCAGTCTTTGTGAGGGTTTCTGATTCCACAAGTCCATATACTTGTTCTTGCACACAATCCCACTCTTCCTACAAACACATATTCGCAAAAGAATTCTCAGTTTGATCCAGAAACTACAGCTGCATGCTTTTAATAAAAATTCCCGATTTGGCACTCTGAAACAAGCCCTGCTTTACCAAAAAAAAAAAAAAAAAAAAAACTCCATCCTTTTCTAAACTAGATTAAGTTAAAAGATTAGTGGCATCTTTGCCTGGAAAACTAAGGATAGCCTCAGCTTTGGCTCTTTCTGTGCTTTAAGAGAAATCCTATCAAAAAGGCAAAATAACAAACTAAGTCAACACTAGCTTTATAGTAAGTGCACACATAAACATTGACAGGAATACTGAGTAAAAACCAAACCTCGCCTCCTTCTTCACTGATGCTCAAGCATGTCTGAAGTAGAGAGTATGTCCAAAGACAACTGTTGGCCAACATTCCTCTCCACAATTCTTTTGTTTTAAACATGCAGTTGGCATTCAGATGTAACTACTGAAATAATACCAAATTCCTACCTATAGAGAAGATGCAGTAACCAAGATTATATTAGTACTGGCTCTACAAATTTTACTTCAAAATGTGCTGTGCTTTGGAAACAACCACCACTACTCTTCTTGCATAAATGAATGTAATGTATGCAGCCTTTTTTTCCCYGGCAGTACTTCAACATACTATGGCCACAGAGGTCATAATAAGATTTTTTTCATGGGACATCTTTTAACATAGACTCATTAAAAAGAAAGAGGGATGATAAAACATACTGCTTATTGTCACTTACTCAACTCAGTTGTATACAGTTTTTCCTAGAGTTTTGGACTGAATAATCTAAAAATTAAGACCCTTTCTAGGGCATTTGCTTGAATCTGAGATACCCTAGCTTCAATATTACTTCTAACACAGTCGAATACTGCACAAACTAGAAATCTTTTCTTGCTGCAAAATGGCAGGCAGATATTGCAGAACCCAATAGCTTCATATTCCCCAWACGGAAGTTACCCCTGTGACAAAGTGAAAGAACTAGGCTCCATTATACTACGCAGAATGGTGTAAGAGTCTAATAGCATGTGTCAGACAGCAATAAAGCTTCACACTTGCAGCTGATGAGCTGTTCACTTTTTAAACACCTCCAGTACTGGGACATAAAAGTGCATGGTCAGACAGTAACATCATTAGCAAGAAAAAGAAATAATGGTATAAAAGCAATTTAAGTACAGTAAAGYCAGGGTAAAATACAACACACTTCAATCAAGGCAGAATAAGTCACACTACTAATGTGCAGGTTTTGGTTTGGTTTTCAGTGTTCTTTTCTGTATGYGTGTTTCTGAACTATTTTTACCCTTCACTGGTATCTAGTCAAAGTATRAACAAACCACACTAACAAAATTTATTCCACAACCATTAACTTAAACAGTATCAGTTCAGCAGCTTCCACGTTGCAGACCATCAAGTGTACCTTCAGGTACACTTCAGCCTCCATGAAGCAGCCCTAGTGCTAAAATGAACAGATCCACACTGTTGCCAACCCTTCCCATGTGTCAGCACAAGCCTTTCATCAGCCTTGTGAAGAACCAATCTTCCCACCAGCATCTATTTTAACTCGGATCAATTCTCTGATCTAGCCCTCCAAACACTCCCTTGTAGCACTTACTTTCTGTGTTGGTAGCTATTTGTGTGGGCTTAATACAAAAATACAACCTCAAGAACAAAACAGTGAATAAAATGGACTACAATCCCTCATGGAAAGTGCCAATAATCCTCCATGTCTCAATTTCTTCACTGAAGTCTTACAGCTTTTTAATTGTACAAACAGAAAGGAAATCTATCAAGCTCTACGTACATTTCAGAAGTAAAAAACTATGCGTTAATAAAGGGAGTTGAGTCTCTTTCTTGTTTTCAAAGAGCAGAAGAGAAGTAGGGCAACCAGATCCCAACATAGAAACAACACAAAATACAACATGGCTTCAAATTTACCTCCTACAACTTACAATTTTATAGCAGCACTTTCTTTTTCTAAAACTGTTTCCCAGTCTCCCATCATTACTGACGCTTAACAGACACAGGCTCATTTGGTCAACAAGCAAAAAGAGGAATGACAGCTATGCTGCCATATTAATTTCCTAAACGTTTGTAAAAATGTGGCTTGGCATTTCTTCACTTATAAACTGTCACATTTTAGTTGCTTTTTAATTATTGCATAGAATAAATAGAACTCAAACACAAAAATTAACAGTAAAATAATAATTTAATCACACTTGTTCTGTGCCTGAAACCCGTAACAGCCTCCATGTTTAGAGGGAGGTTGGGATTTTTTGCTCTGTTTTTAAGTGAAAAAGTCAGGTCTGCTAACTGCTTTCACTTACTTACACTCACATATATAATACATATACACATGAACACAAAATAAGCATTACAGAATCACTATAYAAGAGTGATTTCTTTTGGTAAAAAAACCACATAAAAATAAAAATGGAAACAAAGGAATCTAGGTAAACCACAGTGATCACAGGGAAAGTCTAAGCCCACCTAATAGCTCATCARTATTTTTCCGTTACTAAACACAGCAACAGTTGATGCAAAAAAAGCAATGCAAGTAAATGAGTTTATATTCTATACAAAAAGTAACTGAAGTATAATTAGTCTGAATGATAYACAACCCACTAGATCACTAACTCTGTTACACAACTAAATTTTTTTTTAAATTAACGTATTTTAAAATAGCAATTCATGCACACACTGTAACCAAAAACCTTCCACACAATTTCTATTTTTTCAAGAAGTTTTTTACTTCACAGATGACACTTCAAGTCTGAAAGAAAATAGATGCCATACAGACGTTTAAGGCTGCACCAACAATTATAGGCCTGTTGATCATGCAGAGCCCATATGGCACTGCTGCTGCGTGGAGACATCCACACCAATAGAGGCCTCCATTAAAAAGCAACTAAAAAAATACAGCTTCACTTGATGTAACCCTCTTATTTTGTCAGGCGGAACTTGACAAAGCCTGGTTTGGATGCAAGACAAACTACCACTCAATGTGAAGTGGAACCATGCAAGGAGCTCATCCAGCTTTATCCAGCTCCAAAACCACCTAAAYTGCAAAAAGGCACTCTTGACACAGAGACAGACATGTACACACACGCTTCTAACAAGATTCGGAGCATCTTCCTTATGGCCTTGTATAGGCTGCAAAAGCAAACTACTCTAAAATAACCAACCATGTAACATCAGTATGCCTCACACATGAATTAAGATTGCAGGTCATCTAAGAAACAATCAGGCTCAGTAATTATCCTTGTAGTGATTTGTTTTGAGTCCTATACCATTTAATGCTTTTAGTAGCAGAGGAGGGGACAAAGAAGGGGCACAAGACCAGCACTTCTATAGCTTTCAGGTGCCATAAAGGTCGAAGTCTTCCAGTTTAAAAATGTTAACATTGGTGGGAACTCACAGCAGTGTATTCCAAATGGTAAGGCTAAGAGTTAAGAATGACATTACATAATCAGTAAACACAATGACAAGTAAAGCCACATAACTATAAAACACACCAACATACAAACAAGGAAATACTGACTTGGGACTATCTTTGCAAACAGCWGTAACAGACGTTCCACATTTAAATAACGCCCAGTTTTGATATAACCACTTGGTAATTTTACAAAAGCCTCTTCATRTAGAAAAGCTATAGAACTTTTCCACAGATTCAGGGGAGCTATTTCAACCTCCCGGAAATTATATCAAAAATGCATTAACAGAGCCAAATAGCTCAATACATTTATTTTTAAAAACATAATTATAATGATCRTACAGGCAGGAAATAGAAGTGGAATAATGAACGTTTCTTTTGTTGAGCTGAAAAGAATGCATCAAAGTCTAGGGGTTAAAAACTGAAGCTGTACAAGCTWACCTTAAAAAAGGCAAGTTTTGCAAAGATTATTTATCAGTGAATATTAACTGCTACATTAGACTTGCAGCTATTGTAACCTTTGAGAACAAACTCAAGGATTTTTCTTAGATAAATATTTTAGTCCAAAACAATGCTGATATATTTTAGTAATTGTTTAATTCACGGAAGTCTCCCGTGCAAGACCAGATAAACACTGCATTTCTTTGTACTCCTTGAAACTTCAGAAATTTATTTTAAAGAGTCGCCTGTCTTTCCTCCTCTCCTGTCCAATTAGAGGGCAAACGATTATGTAAAGAAAGTACTAAAGCAACGCTGAATTTAAGGACGGCACCAGTGCATTATCTGTGTTCCTGCAATTTCATTAACCTCAACAAAAATATGCTGAAGCGTGTGCAGTACAGTCCTAAAAATTTAACCTTTGCAAAACYAAGGAAAAAACAACCACCCCCTTGCCTCCTACCTCAAAACCCACCTCACCATTGATTCTTACTTCAAGCCAAGCAAATCATCGAGAGTGATTGGGTGAAAGACGTTAACAAAGAAACAACGCTCCCACCAGGGCATGCACTGATAACACGGGCTGCACAAACCTCGTGCTCACCTCTAGGCCCACGTTTTCCAGACCTCTCAAGCCAGAGAGAATAGGTAAACAAACACAAAGGAAGGAGGCAGAAGGAGGGGCAAAGGGGAATATACACACGAAGGAGAAAAATTGCAAACAAAGCGCGGCGCGGGGGCGCGGGCCCGGCAGCGCACCGCCCCCGCCACGGGCGACCAGCCCAGCCGTCTCCCCCAAACGGGTAGGCCGGCACCTTTTCCCCTTTCCCCTCCCGGCGCCGCCGCACGAGGCCCTCCCGCCCGCTCCCGCCGCCATCCGCTCCCCCGAGGGCCCCGCCCGGCGGGGCGGCCGATGCCGGGCCAGGCCCAGCGCTCCGGGGGAGCCGCGCGGCTTCGGGGCCTGCCCGGCCGAGGCGGCGCCGCTGCAGCCTCTCCCTACGCCTCAACGCGGCCGCCCCGCGCCCCGGGGAGCCCCGGCCCCGGACGGGCGGCCGGAGCCGGGGATGTGGCGCGGATGGCGCGGGAGCCACCGCGATCCCCCCCCGCCACCCGCCCGGCCGCGGGCCGCGCCGCCCCTCACCCGTCGGTGGTGCGTTTTTTGCTGGAGCTGTAGTCGTCCCCCAGATCGAGGCGATGGCGCTTGGACATGGCGATAGCGATAGCGGTCGCTCAGTCTGTCTGGCGGTCAGTCGGTCCGGGTGCGGCGGACGCGCGCTCTGCGCTCCCTCCCCGAGCGGCGGCGCGGCGAGGCACGGCCGACAAAATGGCGGCCGGAAGGAAGCGCCGGGACCGCGCGAGGCGCTGGCGCGCGGGCCCAGTGGCGAAAGGCTCCCCTGGGCGCGAGCCCGACGGCCCCGCCCMGCCCCGCGCGCGTTCCCGACAGGGAATTGGGCTGGTGGCTGAGGAAATATCCCCGGTATGGGATCCATCGGTCATGGATTCGTCCAGGGTGGGAAGGACCCTCGAGATCGCCCAGTCCAACCGTCCGTCCGGCAATACCACTGTAGTGGGTACCACTGTAATCGCTAAATCACATCACCCACCGCCACATTCAAACGCCTCTTGAGCACCTCCAGGGATGGTGACTCTGCCACCTCCCTGGGCACCCTRTTCCAGTGCYTGACCACCCTAACACTGAAAGGTTTTATTCTAATATCTAATCTGCATCTCCCCCGTGCCAGCTTGAGTCCATCTCCTCTGCCCGTCTCACTGCGAGCACAGCAGAACAGACCAGGCCTCACCTACAACCTCCTGTCATGGATCTCTAGAGAGCCATGAGGTCCTCTCTGAGCCTCCTCCAGGCACAGCAGCCCCAAGTCCCTGAGCCATTCCTCATAGGATGTTTTTTAGACCTTTCACAAGCTTTCTGYCCTTCTCTGGACATGCTCCAGCACCKCACACAGTACTTGAGGTGCAGCCTCATCAATACTGAGTACAGGGGAAAACAGCCTCTCCACTACCCTCCTGAGCAGAGGATGGCAATTTCCACTGAGAGGGCTTGAGCCAGGATAAGTGTCAGGAAAACCTCTTTTCTAGGCCTTTGCAGGCTTCCCTAGCAACACTCGCTTAGCATGCAATAAAAGACAACCTTTCACAAGTCACCTGTGGCAGCAGCAGTGCTAGAAAACCAGGCRCATTATGGCTGCCATGCTGTAGAAGCACATATGGCCTTTACCAAAATATCAACCATAAGTGTGCRTGGCAGTGTATTTCATGAGGAGAAAATTCAGCTGTCTCTCAAGGACCTAGAAATACAGTCACCAATTTTTACTGTTACAGCAGGCAAGAAGCCTGAGTTCATAAATAACAAACTCCAGCAGACCTCTTGAGTCCTACCGTATCCAAGTCTTCTTAGCAGGAGCACAGCTACAACGACATTTAGTAAAACAATTCCAGAAGTGAAATAAGACATACGAGTTCAGGTGCCATTTCCTCATGACAGTTAGGTCTTGCTTGAATAGTTGCAGCAGTGATTAGTTATTTTTCATACTTCCAACCAGCTTTAACTGCCAACAGAAGTCTGCAGGTTTAAGTTTGGTCCAGAAGAGTTGGTCCTCAGAGTTATTTCTTGTACCCCTGAGCTGTTCCCCATTTCCTGCCACTCCCAGGACCTTTTAAGTGCTTGATTAACCATCCACACAAGCAGCATTTGTCCTGTAACTGAAACCACAGATGTGGCTGGGCAGGAGAAGATTAAGACAGGAAGAGATCTCTCTAATTACCATATCTTCAGGTCAGAGGTGCACAAAATGCTCACTGAGCAACCTCTACTCTCACACTAYTTTATTCAGCCATTTCTGCTCCCTCTCAGCAGTCTCAGCAGCTGCCTCACCTTCCAGTTCTGTCACTTGATGCTTCCTAAAAGCCACTCTCTAGGAAAATCTAGAAAAGCAAGAGGCACTGTTCTTTATACTTCTGACAGCTATTTAGAGGACATCAACCACTGGACATTCCATTCTCTATTCTTCCCCTCTCCATTCCCATGGAGAATGGGAATGTCATTCCATGACCGTCTATAACAAGCTCCTTTAGCACCATGGTAGGGATTTAAATTTATACCACAGACAAATAATTTTAAGATAGAAACTAAAAGCACTACCTCTCTTCATCCAAGGGCATTTGTTGGAAAACATGCACTTTGCAAGGCTTGCTCCCTGTCTCTCTTCACAGTCCTTCTGCTAGAGACACCAGCMTTTGCTCAGCTACTTGAATGATTGCTGTTGGAGCAGGGGTGCATTCACATCAATGGCTCAGCTAACARACATGAAAGCAGACAGGAAAGATCATCTAGCCTGTTCCACAAGTACAGCCAGCTCAACAACCAGGTCTTTGTCCATAGCTTCATGTTCCAAAACTATTAAAATATTTAATGAAAACAAATCCTTAGATTATGTTCTTTAATAGAAGAGCATTTCTGTTCCTAATTTTAGATAATATAACAAAATAGCACACACWGCTCCACTGGAATTCTAGATGTTAATGTAATAAAAATAAGATTTTTCTGCTTAGAGTTACCAACAAAAATAAATATTTCTGGAAACTGGATTTTAAACTTTTCCTGTGAAGCTGGAAGTAATTTTTAAAGTTACACTACAGAAATCACTGGAACATCTATGTTAGAGGTTTCCAGGAGATAAACACTACAGAGTAATTCTCTCTACCACAAATATCAAGTTTACCTGTTGTTGTACAATGGTAATGTGCACAGAGCTGCACTGGCTGAATGCAGAGAGAGTGGGAGACCTTCTATACATCCCTCCATGAATTTTACATTATGTCTATCTTAAACAAAAGTGTTTATTCAAATAGAGTACTTGAATAGGACAAATTTAGGAGGGAAGATATAGTGGCTAGGTCTCCCTGGAAAGTGGGAAAAGAGGGGAAGAAACATTACATGCGTTAGCTGGSATGAGAAGCTAGTGCTGGATGGTTCTGAGAAGGCTACAGCCTGGACAATGGGAGCCTGGAAAACTCAGCAGCTCTGTTTCAGATCTTTATTTCTCCTCCCTATGCACAGCAGCATAAATCTACTTATGATCTTGCTCTAGATTACCCCATGGCAAATATCAGGGAAGTTTCTACTTTAGGAGGTAAGGAAAAAGGAGCAGATGTCTCAGCTGGTATGAAGTCTGAGGCTACAGCTCAGCAAAAAATGCAAAAAGAGGGGAAGAAGRTTTTGTGCTAGTCAGGGTGAACAACTGCTTGTGTGCTATGCCCCTGACTGATATCCCACAAACTAGTTCACTCTGTTAACMGTTATTAACTCCACAAACTTCTGAACTCATCCTCCACCCAACCTTGCTTTGAGCCATCTGACTGCATAATAACTGATCTGGTCCCACCCCCAAGGGTTTACAACATAAGACCTTCCTCCTGAAAGCACACACATGCCTTACTTTGCTAATGCAAATAATCCTTTTAACTTCAAAGGGATTAACAAGGAAGGAGTAGCAAAACTAAGCATGTAGGTAAGTGTTTGCAGCATCACAGCCTAAATATAAGATGAGAYGAGAAAAAAAGACTGGTAAGCACAAATTGACATAATGGCAAAGTGATAAGCWTTACGTCAAAAGCCTAAAGGATGAAAGGAATGTGTAAAATAGGGCACATTTAAGCATATTTTCTGCCTTTTCAAAGGCATTTGTTAAGAAAGAGGTTTTTATTGCCCCCCCAAGGCCTCTTATATCCATCTATAAAAGTGAAAATCTTTGGTTACTGAAACAAGACACATTTGTATGAGCTGCCACTTGACTATCTACTGTTCTACCCTCTGTTTCTTACCCTAGTTTTAAAATCACTGGTATCAAAATCCTCTTAGCCAACTTCCAGTGAATATTTCTTTACTTTTGGCATGGGCATATTTATTCTGCTATTTGGATTGAAAGGAGTATTAACACTTAAAACTGAAACAATGGCTTAGGGGAATAATGTCATGCCTATTTTCTTTTCCTGATGGCACATTGCCTTCTCCCCCAAAGAATAAACATGGGTCTCAGACCMGCTGTAATTCAAAGACCCTGGAACATTCACCTGGGTGAGATGAAGTTTCTGGMGTAGAAGTCTGGTGTCATAGTGTCATAGTTTAGGTTATTATTGCCTGAGGCTAATTGCTTCACCCCTTCTAGAGATTACTGAGTCTATAAAGCACATGAAATCTATCCAGTCTMGATTCTCAGTCAAAACTCACCTTCTCCATTGGCTTAAGCCAAAACAGGGGATGCTGAAGAGAAACCACAAATCTGCTGCAATGGAAGCCATAGTAATGAGCAGAGTGGTAACACAGACAGGTAGGAGAGGTTAAATCTTCTAAAAGTTGTGTGTTAGAGCCCTAAAACCTGTGCAATATGTATTTCTTTTATGGCTGGCTGGCTTGCAGTAGACCCTAAGCTACAGTCTATATATGGTCTCAACACCATGGACATATGCTGCCACTTTTTAAAAAACAGTAGTTTCCTTTGTAAAAACAAATCTAACTCCTGGGTTTTTTTAATAGAGCTACAAAATGTTAAATGAAAAAWTTCCTGCAAATGAGTTAAAATATTAAAATGAAGTATTTATGATAATTATAATTGCAATCACAGTTTTAAAATTTTATATATGTATATACAAACGGGTAATACCCTTAGAAAATKATCCAGGAGTCTTAAATGCAAATGCTTATCACAGACAAGATCTCATTCTATCCTCCCCCACCAAGCCCATGTGACTAAATGGATATTATCCTCATGTTCTGTCATATCATCAGGGAAAGAATCCTTGAGACAAGAACCCACAATCAGAGCATGTTTAAAAACGTCAGACTTCCACATCGTTCAAATTAAAAATATGAAGATGAATACATGAACTGATCTCAATTTCTGCAGTGAAGAAAAGAGGCAGCTTCTCTGTAATTACGGAAGCTAAACTTTGCAACACTTCAAGTATATATAAATCRGCACTTTGAATTGCTCTGGGAAGTACGCTGTAGGAAGGAAGGCAGCATGGCAACAGCACTAGTGCCGTGACAGCAAAGTTTATCAGCCATACAGACACCCATCTGAATTTTGTGAGTGGTTATTGAATGTTATCCCATACAGAACACACCCCTGTGACTGAATCTGCAGGTCACAGATTCAGGTGACTGAATCTGCAGGTCAGAAAGACCTCAATAACTTCAGCAAAGCTTCATAAAGGAGAAGAAAAAGAGAAAGAGAGAGAAAGAGAGAGACATTGCAGCTTTTGTATCTACTTGAACATTACCGAAGAAAGAAATCRCTTTTTAAAACAAACCCCATTCTCTA